GTTAAAGAGGGTACATATTTGAAATATGACAGTGAAACAGCATTTGAGAAATGTCCCACACTAACTTTAGCTATCATGGGTGTTGATGTTCTATAGTAAAAAGGGCAGATTTGCCTGATTGCAAATTTAGTGGTAGATGTATGCACTCATTAACTAATGCACTCAATGGGAGCGGCTGGGGTGACTGTAAAGGAGAAGTTTTTGTATCACTTCAGAGTGGAGATAACGGTGATGATAGTCAATCCATTTCCCACATCAGTAAAAAAAAACAGTTTATTTTATCCTCCGTCTGCCTAATACATTTACTGGGCAGAGATCTGAAACTCCGGTTCGGCTTAGGCCTCATTTATTCCACAAATGAGGGGTTTAAAGTCCGGCAGCCATCTCCTACGATGGTTCAAAAACTTTTGATGATAAAGACTGTGTGAATGTGTATTAAATGGCTGCTGACATATCCTGATTCTCAGGCGTTGTTGCGTTTGACTGATCAACGTGTTTTTCCACCTGCTGTGTTCATGGAGGCTTCTCATTTGCATTGTACTGTTAATGTTGTTAATCTGTGTAAATGTGGTTCCCGGGAATGATGAGAGTTTTCTGTTAGAATGTGTGAATGAGGAGCTCATGCTTAAGACTATGCTTGGAGTTTGCTGCGTAGCGCTGGTTCCTGTTGCACACCCACACAATACAAACTGTGTCAAATCCCAGGGGCGGTCCACACATTTCACTAGCCAGGGGCCCACTGAGAGATAGAGGGATTTGGGTCTAATCGTTAAAGATTTGGAGTCAGTCACTGATTGGACATCTACACACACAGAATATGTTATGTACTCTATGTCATGTGACGTGGATAAGATGAAAATATGCACAAACGTAGCCGTTCTGCACACATTGCTGTTGGTTGAGGATGATGGGGTAATTATCATATCTCTGAGCTTCCTGCCGTGCTTTCAGATGGGCCATACTCACTCTGGGCAGCTCACAGATATGACGTATGTTTAATGTCCACGTTCCGTTCAAATCAACCCCCGTACCCATTGAAACGTGAAGCTGTTGATGGAATTCAGCCAGTGTTTACCTCTCTGTTTAAACAAGGGGTCATTATTCCGTGTAACGATTCCGGTACGCACTCCAGTGTTTCCTGTCAAAAAGATCAGAGACAAAACCTCCTGACGAGTGGAGATTTGTCCAGGATTTACAGCTGTAAATGCTATGCAGCTATGCCCGCTCGTCCCAAGTCCTTATCTGATTCTTTCCTAAGTTCCAGCCTCTGCAGCATTTTTTTTACTGTAATAAGATCTCTCAAATGCATTTTTCAGTGTTCCTGTACACAAAGACAGTCAATTTTGTTCACATTTGAATATAAGGGTAAACCTTACACATTCACACGTTTGTGTCAAGGCTACTGTGTACAACCAGGCATTGTGTACAAGGTTGGTCTCTCTCCAAGTTTCTAAAGGCATCGCTCTCATACAAGGCCAGTTTGATGACCTCATGATTTGCGCACCCACAGCAGTGTTCATAACACACGGCTGTTGTAATGCTTGTTGCGATGTTACATTAGTCCGTTCTCTGCTGGTAATTATGCCGTTACAAGTTTCAAAGTTGTATTTATCATCTGAATTTGCCGAAACAAGTTTGGTATTCTGAAGCCAATACTTTGTTCATTCTAAAACAGATGAAAACAAACGGTCTTTTATACAAAATGGAAATATTATACAAGTAAAACTACATGTTACTTTAATCCCATGTAATTGTAGAATGAACACAGTCTTCCTTTGTATAAGTCAGGTGTTTTGAGTAGTCAAAATTACCTACAAATCATTGTACACATTTGTAAATATTATTTTCCACTTGTTACCATTGTGAGGTTATTTTGTATGCAGCGCTGCGTGATTTTGTAGCTAGAAATTCAGACTAAAGTACTCAGATATTGTACTTGAATACAAGTAGAAGTACCAGAGTGTTACAGTAAAAGTCCTGCATTCAAAATGTTCCTCAAGTGAAAGTAGAAAAGTATTCTCATCAAAATATAGTGAAAGTAGCGACAGTGAAAGTATTCATTGTGCAGATTGGTCCATTTCAGAATAATATATATGATATGTTTTATAATGATTGATCATGAAAGTGTTCTCAAAGCTGGTAAAGGTGCAGCTAGTTTGAATGGCTTTGTATACTGCAGGGTAGCTGGTGGATTTACTCCAGGTGGAACTAAAGTCTGATTCAACACTTGATTAGATTTCACATCGTTCATCCAGATCTGTGAAGTAACTAAAAGTATTTTTTTTAAAAATAGTAATCAATGATGTTTTGAGAAGTTATTTGGCTGATTGTTTTTATATCGGCTCAGCCAGGTTATATGGGAGACCCAGTCTACGTACACTCTAAAAACAAATGCTTGGCTTAACAAAGAGAATCAAGGCAATAGGTTGCATCGATGGTTATTGAGTTAAGACAACTTCTAATGACATTTTGTTAGAGCAACAAAGATATTTGAGTTAGGGGAAAAGGCGTTTCCTCAATCAGGTGTTTTAAATTACCACTTACTTAATAATTGGTAGAATAAACACAAGTTTTAAGTTGATTACTCCAAACGTTCCAACTTGTTTTACCGTATGATTTAAATGTAATCTTAAGTTGTGTATACTTAATTACCACATGTTGAACATGGACAGATGTTTTTAAGTGGACAGCCATTTGTAAATTAAGTTGCTCCAAATAATATTGTATTCAATAGGGTTTTTCTTTTAGCTTATTCATGTTTTTTCCTTTAAAGAAAGAAATTAATTGATTCCACAACAAAAATATTAGGCAATTCACTTTTTATTTTTGAACTGCAGTTGTTTATTTCAACACATGATATTTCAATCAGGAGAGTTTGAATTTCAAGTTGTATTTGAATGACAAGACCTTAACTCAAGGTGTAGAACAATTAAGTTATCAAGCCAATTGCATTACAATACCTCAACTTGAATTTAGGGTGAAGTCAATTAATGCAGAAATCAGAGTTCAAATGACACGATTAAGTTGCAACTTAAACTGTTTATCTAAAATCAATTAACTCACATTTTTTATCTTGCAACCAGTGCATTTAATTAAGTGGAGGTGAAAGGTCGCTTGAATTGGATTCTCCAGCTCTGAATTGGGTTTTTAGATGTACAGATCACTCATTTTGATATTAATATTAAACTTAGTTTTCTTTTCTTTAATTTTTCATCCTCGTGTAGAATGCTATCACGAAACACACATTTGGTTGTTTATAGCATAAAGAACATCTGAGTTAATGTGAGGTAGGGAAATACTCATTTGAGTATGTGCATATAAATATGTAATTTACAACAGCTATAAGATGCTTGAAAAGTGCTTGAATTTGATTTTGGAAAAGGTGTAAGAACCCTCTTATTGACCTTTGCCTGAAGGTGACGAACACGACTGTGTGCACACCTAGACCGGACTTAAAAGACGTTCCTCTGACCAAGGCTGACCTCATTTTGTATGTTGATGGGTCTGCCTCTCGCGACCAAGGGGGCACTAATCGGGTGGGGTGTTTTTCTGTTGTTTCAGATTCCGCTGTACTCCGTTCTGGACCAATCCCATGTCTCAGCACAAGCAGCAGAGCTCATCGCACTAACTGAAGCCTGCACGTTTTCAGAAGGCAAAACCGTGACTATTTACACTGACTCACGCTATGCTTTTGGGGTAGTGCACGATTTTGTGGCTATTTGGAAGTGTAGACAATTTCTGCAAGCAGTACAGACCCAGTTCCCCTAAGAAATTGGGTCTGCTAATTTACCTGCTGACTCAGCCGCAAAGGAAGAGTCTGATTCCTCTCACACCTCACGCACCTTACACTCATTTGTTAGAATCCCTGTCTCCTCCTTCACTGACAACATGTCGTCACTTCAGCAGCTAGCTACACCAGTTGAGAAGGCTCGGTGGAAGGCTGTTGGGGCTGTTTTTGACACATGGGTTGGACAATGTGTCAAAAGGGGGGATGTTAGAGGCTATAAATCAGGAGTGGTTCACAAGGGGGGTGAAGGGGGGTAAGTTGCATTATGCAAAATTCATTTGAGCACCTAATGCTGGATTTAATTGAGTTTAGCCCATCAGAGAACATCTTAAATTAGAACAACGGTTCACATTTTGCTAAAGAGAGAACGGCACAATCAAAAACAAACTAGCAAAATGCTGTGCAGACACAGGTCTGTCATGGACACGAGCTCTGTCCATTGTGCTGATGTACATGCGGATGTGGGAACGAACATGGAGCCAACTCAGCCATTTGAAATCCTTTTTGGGGCTCCTCCACAGATTGGACTCAAGGCTCCAGGATGTCCTCTTCCCTCCACAACTTTGTGTGAGGATGCTATGTTGCTATGTTGTATGTTAACCTGTCATCCACTTTAGCGACTGCCACTGGTCCACTTCATCATCTCCAACCCGGCGACTTCGTGCTGGTCAAGGATTTCCGGAGAAAGAGCTGGAAATCCAATCGTTGGCAAGGTCCATACCAGGTGCTTCTGGTCACCCAGACAGCGGTAAAGGTCGCCGAGAGAACTACGTGGGTCCACGCCAGTCACTGCAAGGTCGTAGTCACAGGAAAGGGGAAACAGAAGTAGATGACAACAAGTGATGTGTCCTAGTCACCAACAGATGACAACAAGTGATGTGTCCTAGTCACCAACAGATGACAACAAGTGATGTGTCCTAGTCACCAACAGATGACAACAAGTGATGTGTCCTAGTCACCAACAGATGTAGATGACAACAAGTGATGTGTCCTAATCACCAACTTGCACCACACTTGCACTACATACACTAAAACACACTACACACAAGGTATCACGAGCGAGTGCCAGCTGAGCGGTTCCATATGCCTCTGGTTCCTCGTTTGTGTTATCAGTGTGCGAAGTCTGTCACAAAATCGACCGAGGGAATACACACACACACCCCATGGAGCATTCCCACCTCGTGATGACGGCTCGCCTGGGAAAACGACAACGCAACCGTGAGCAATACTACTGGAGAGCCTGGACAATCACAAAATGGTTCCTCTGCATACTTGCCATGATAGTTGTGTTAGGACTAGTTATATATTTTATGTATTCATGGTCAGCACACAGCAGGTCAGCAAAAATCGAGGTATCTAAGAGGTACATGGGGAAAGCAGGGCGAACCACATGGGAAGAGGGGCTGATCAAGACAGGGATTGGTAACATTACTCTAAGGGATGGGGAAGATAGCACAGTGCAGTTAGACCCGTGCGACTACATGCATTGCTCCGACCCTAAGAAACTGGGGTGGGCGGACGCCTACATATGCTATGTCGAAGGCAGTTTTGGTCAAACCGCCAATCACTGCTCAGGGGGCTGGGCTTTTGTTTTATGGACCACCGCATACACCGATTGGGGTTATACCCTATGGGACGACAAAACAAACATAAAAGGGAGATTGTCTATCTCCAAAGTCAATTCATCGAGCCCCGTTGTCCTGTTGCAACTACAGGCTGCCCAGATATCAGACGGGGGTTATTATGTTGTATGTATGTATGTATCCGGCACCGACCCGTGTGGCACATTTTACATAGACATCGCGCCCAAAACTCAGACCCCCAAAAAGGATAAACCGCCTTTGACACAAACATTGACATCCATAGGTACATCTACACTTCTAAAACGTAACCTATACATAGGCAATAACGACCATAACAACATTGATGTGGTTCAGACCAGTAATGGGAACACCTTTAACGTTTGGTGGCACACTCTGAGATCATTCTTGCAGGCCGCAGGACAAAATGGTTCATGTTATGCATGCACCCTTTTTCCCCAGGACTCATCAATGTCAGTGCCAGTTCGTCCGCGCTCTCTGACCCAGGTTGAACACCTCTGTGCGTTTATGGCTCTGACAAGGCCCATCGAGGGGGAAGACCGCGTAACCGAGTGGCGTTATGCCAGGCAGCTTCCTCCACCATGCAGTAATAAGTCTAACTCCCTTTTGCGTGCATATACGGTTGATACCACATACGCAAAGTACCAACCGGTCAGCCATGTGCACCCCAGCCATTTGAGAGGGATGAAACACAGCATTTGTATCCAGAGAGTATACCATAAAACGTCTCTTACACCACCTTATTTTTCCCTAGGTACTACTACTGGTTGTACTCGTATCCTACAGAATACGTGCAGTTACGGTGTTTACAATAGCTCGTATTGCATATTCAGTGTCCCTGAAAGAATCCTTTCTAACGTAGCATTCCCTGATGTTAACCATACTTCCCTCCAACTGGCCTGGCCCAGTGATGCTGGGTTTAGCTCGCCACAAGATTACGTTTGGTTGTGCGGCGACAAGCTCTATCAACTTCTGGCTCCCCTCTGGATAGGTACATGCACTCTAGTGGATTTGAATCCAGCAGTCACTGTCCTCACGTCCTTAATGTACACGACACATCATTACCCAGAGTTCCAACACCCGGACCACCACAAGGTAAAAAGAGAGCTGACGTCCACTGGAGCTAAATTCTTTGGTGGCTTGTTTCCATGGTGGGGTACAGTAAACAATGCCCATAAGATAGATACCTTACACGTTCGACTAGAGAACCTCACTTCCGAGACGACGCAAAGCTTCCAGGCATTGCCCCCATTCATAATAGCCTCTAGGAATATGCTCATGCAGCACCAATTTGCTCTTGACCTTTTGTTCGCCTCAAAGGGTGGCCTGTGTCATGTGATCGGTGACTCCTGTTGCACTTACATTCCCGACGCCACCAAGAACATCACTGACACCGTGCTGCATCTTAACAACTTGTTAGCCGACATGAAAGCGGATGACATATCCAACGCAGGCGGCTGGGACTGGTGGTCCTGGCTTACATCGGGGGGGGTGACAAGCATGGCTGGCTAGGATAGTTACACCCCTGATAATCATTTTCGGCCTATGTATCAGTTGTACCTGTTTGATTATCCCAATACTGAAGAAAGGCTTTTCCAGCCTGGTATCTTTAGCTTTCGTTCAGTATACTGCTATCCCATTACAAGACAATCCTTTGCGCCACAGTGAGATAGACCAGCTAGAATCAGAAGAGTCTGATTCCGACACTACAATATAATCAATATAATCATGTGTATCAAGTGTACTCTCCTCTTATGCTTACATTATATTGGAGTCTGTCCTCCACAAAAACAGCCAGTTTTCTATGATATATTTGTGATGTGTTTACTTAAACCAGTGATGGAGTGTATTCATTGATGTGTTATATCAGTCTATCCTGTCATTTGTTTTTTTATTGATCAAGTATGATCAAAAGGGGGGAATGTAGTGGAAATTTCCTAATATCCTGATATGTTAAAACCAAATGCTTCTCATTTGGTTTATATGTGCTGTTTGCTCTATCTGTTCTACTTCAAGGCCACAGAGCTGTTTTGGCTACTAGGTTGAGACTCACACAAAGTCACACGAGAACTTCTACAGCTCAAGGCCAGGTGTCTAATAACAATGTGACCGTGTGAAGACAGATTTCTTACCTTCTCATCATTTCTACTATATAAGCTTTGCTATAATATTGAACTGCGCACACTCGCGCAGACTATCCTATACTCTGTGAGACCTGTGTCTATATTTTATTGTATCTGATGTTTATTCGAATAAACATCACCGGAAAGACAACTCTGTCTGTTTCACCATTTATTTGTTTTCTGACTTGTACTCTACAGTATTGGGGTTTTTAGATTTCCATAACAAGCCAGGGGTAGAAACATGTTTTGTTCTGCTGTAAAGTTGGGCATTTTAACATGGGGGTCTATGGAAATTGCTCCTTTCTGCAGCCATCGCCTATCGGCCAATATATGAACTGCAGTGTGTGGCACTTCCGTATTGGCTTCCCGGCTCTACCCCACAGTTTGCCGCTTGCTAAATACATGCAAAACCAATTCCAATCAGCTGTATTTTGTGTTTGGTAGTAATTCATGTTATAGTGTTTATAGTGGCATTACAAACTGAAATGTTAGCGTGTTAGCATGCAACCAATGATCCGACAAATTGGAGATGGGTTGTATTCTGCTTTTTCTCAAAGTATGTGGTCCTTGGTGGTGAACACTGCCCCTCAACAACTTCATTCAAATGCATATAAGCGACTGCACCCCCATTACATTGAGCTGTGCAGTCTGATGCACCTTCAATTTATGTAAATGCTATACATGTTTTTTGGTCAACTACAACTTATTTTAATGAACATACTTTCAGCTACAAAACCCAGAAAAACATATTTCTACCTCTCAGCCTAAGCCCTTTGTCATTGTCAATGAAAAGCAAAGGGTAGGAGTAATTACATTTATTCAAACACACTCTTCTTTGAAGACTTGAGGATACTTTAAGCAACATTAAATGGGTCACAACACTTTGAACGATTAACCTTGTTGCATTTTCTAGTATTTATTAGTGAATCAAGTTATTAAAATACATTAAAACTATTTATCATGTTTTAATTAGTAGACTAAAACACTTGCAACATTAAAGATTTCCACTGTCTGATACAATTCAGAAGGTTTTTCTAACCAATATATTAATGAATACAAATCCTTATAATAGGAACATTTTGCATCTAATAATACAATTAATTATTTGAAAACAAATGATCTTGAGCTGTGCAGTTTTCTTTCATAAAGTTAACTGTCTAATGTGGGAGCCGTTGGTGTAAAATGTGCATCTGATTTAAAACCAAGCCAAAGAGCAGTGAGGTTAAGAGGTAGAACCCGATTGGTCCTCCTATAACGATTTTCTTTGCAGTTGGAGTGAGCACACTTTGGGACACACATTGAACGTTTTCCTTTTCCAAATATGGGGCCAACAATGCTCGAAAGTAAAAATAAACCAGACAAAATGTCAAACAGGATGAATAATTAATTTCTTACAAAAAAGTCAGATAAAACTGTGTAATTCGAAGGCATGGGTTGGCCATAAACCCTCATGCATAACTAAAGAAAGAGAGAAACAAACAATGGGTAGCATGATTTGCTTGTAGCGGATTTAATAATGTATACAAAAATATGTATTGGTACTCTTGTTATGTATCATAAATACATGAATTGGAACAAAATGTGAAGGACAGAGATCAAAACACTGTTATATTGAGTATCAGAATGTAATACCTCAGGAAACGACCCATCAAAATGTGATAGGCATAATGGATATTGTTATTTTGAAGGTTGTTACCGATATATTTCAGATAAAGTGCATTACAAATGAAATGTTTAATCAACTAATAACTACAAAACTTAACTAATCAAATACATATGAATGAACAAACTATGATTAAATGTTTCCACTGAATGCAAGGCTGGACAATTTATTAACCAGTTAAGCCCGAACCTGTTTTTCAGGCCTCGGGCTCGAAAATGACATTCCCAGAACAAATGACCATATCTTTACTTCTAAAAGGGGTAAATTAATAATATTTTTTCTCAAAGCAATGACAAACCTGTGAGTTGGATGTAGAAAAGTCAGAATCAATATAGATTTTTTTTATTTTAAAGTAAATTCAGATTGAACATAGTAAAAAAATGTAAATTATAGCCGTCCAAAAAAAACATTACTTATAGTGAAAACCACCCTTGAATGATGTAACATATAAGAAGTACCCTGTATCAAGATTGATACAAAACAAGTCACATACCTGTATGACCTTTTTAGAGAGGTTTAGCAAAACAAATTCATTTGGGTGTATTTGCCATTTCTCTGGAACCCATTGGTCGATTTTGGTGATTGACATCTCTTTTGAACCGTTAGAGCCAATAGAATTGAAGGGGAAGTTCCACATACACACATGTTACCATTGAGGAGTGAGTGTGACGCGCACGCAGTCGAAAGCTATGTTACGCTCTGAAAACTGAAAACTGAAACCTAGGCTCAAACTAGTAAATATGAAGATGGATTATCAGTAATAATTTCAAAGTGACACAGACACATTGGATTTTGTGATGCCATTGAACACAACTTTTGATCAGAACAACAGCTAAGGTAAGAATATATCCGTGTTTTCTCCGTGAAGCTACTTGTTGTGATGTCTGTTCTGATCGCTCAGTGATGATACTTATATGTCTGGAATCTGTGGAATCTCAGTTTGCTAATCAATATCTTGTTTGCACAGATCCGATAAGTAATAAGGGTATTTTACCTTGAGTTCTGTGCTAACTGCGTTAGCATTTCTTCGCTCAGGGCTAATTCAGAGCCTTTGTTATTACCCGTATGTTTCGTTTTGCTAAAAAAATGTTAATATGTGACCTGCTCCATCGAGATCAGTCGTATTGACCCGAAGACAGATTTTGAGTTGTATACACTGTTGGAAAGAGGAGATTCCTAGCTTTCTAATGATATCAGGATTGTTTTTGTACTCCAAATATTAAGCAAAATATGTCACATTATATAATGACTGTTACCTAGTCATCGTTTTGAGAAAAAGGCCTTTAAAGTTTCCTCTTCTCTGGAATTCATCAATCTGATTGATTATTAGCGGCTGATAAATGATCAAAGTGGTAGGCCTACGGAGGGAAGATATTTTGGTTTGGATTACTGGTCTGGGGGAAGCTCGCGAGTGTGTGTGTGTATACGTGTGTGTGTGTTTGTGTATTTTTGCGTTTGTGTGTATTGTGTTTGTTTCCCGGGGAAAACCCTCACGAGAAACACCGGCTGTTGTTATGCCTGCTGTGACGTCAAGTTACTCCGTTCTCCGCTTGTAATTCTGCCGTTACAAGCTTCAAAGCTGTATTTATCATCTGAATTTGCCGAAACAAGTTTAATATTCTGAAAGCCAAGACTTTGTTTAATTGAAATCAGATGAAAACAAACTGTAACGGACCCTGCCGTGTTATTTATGATTACTATACGCTTACATTCATAATTTCAGCCGGAGGGAGGGGAAACAACCGATGTTTAGTTGTTTCACCTGCCACGTTCAGAAGAATAGATGTGGTTTTAAATGGCGGGAAAGTAGCAGGTTTGCTTGGACTTAGCTGCATTTTTGCCTTTGACAGCTCTCTGTACCTTGGTGCCATGTGAATTGGACTGAGATGGATCTTCTCCATCTCAGTCCCTCAGCATGTTTCTGGGAGATCTCACCCCCCCCCTCAACAAAAACACATCCTGGCTCAAAAAAGGCGGGAAAAAGTTCCATATTATAATAAGGACGAAAGAATACAGATCTGCGAACTGAAAACCTTGGCAATAGCATAAAATAAAATATGACTTCTGTATATGGCACTTGAAGTGTGTCGATGCCAATGCACCTACAATGGTTTGGCTTATTGAAAGCTACATTCTTACAGGCTTCTTGCTCATGTGGAGAAGCAACCCAGTCTCACGGCATTTCGTGTTCACCAACACGATTTTTAATCTATTGATTCGTGTTCCCCAACACGATTTGCCCCTTTTTTTCGTGTTGCACAGCACGATTTTAAAAGCAATGTATTTCTATTGCCTGCAGCACGTCTTTTTCTCCGGTCGGGTCGAGGAAGACCTGAAGCTGTGTGGTTCATAAAAACATGTTCTTACTCAATATCAAGCCACAGTTATTGCTTTTATTTTAAATCGTATAATTTCGGACTTTTGTTGCCGTCTGTGAGGAAAAGAAATGGGGCTCAGAGCCTCAGAATACTGAAATCTGTATTTTTTAAATATTTTTTTCCTTCTAATTTGTCATTCTTTTCAAAATAACACACTGTTATTTACTCACCAATAACACACAATTATCCTTGCTTTTATTTATTGGTTTAATTCCATAATCTCGGGCTTTTTTGGCGTCCGTCAGGGACTGAATTTCAAAATAAAATATCCGGAAACAGACGTAGGGACATTTCGAGCGTCATTGCGATTGTCAACCTTTCTGAGTTTAGGATGGCCGAAGACACTACACTACCCATAATCCCCAGCTATCGTTTAGGACTACAGTCCCCCGTAAGGTTACGCAGAGCGTCAAACAGCTGTGGGAAATGGAACGAAACCACGCCAGACTATCCAAAACTGGAATCGAACGCCCCCCCAGAACTACACATGCTGGCTGCTGGCTATTGTGTTTCGCAAAATGTTCTATGGGACGTCTCTACTGAACGTTTTCGTTTTTCCCACAATTAGAAGTTGCCAGTATTAAACACATTGGCGTTATCAAATGTAAAACTATTATATATTATTTATTATAATTAATAAATGGGTGAAAATCGCTATATATACCCACATGACAGCTCATTGTTACTTTGTAATTCTACTCCACTACAATTCAGAGGTTAACCTGGTATTTTTACTCCACTGCATTTATTTGAGTTACTTTGCAGATTCTGATTAATTATGTGAAATATAAACAACCCTTAAATCAGACTTTAGTTACACCTGAGTAAAATTCAGGTAAGGTGATTGTCAAGTGCCAACAATCAGGAGAGATATTTGATAGTTGGTGCTTGAGAAGACTAAACATGTATCTGCAATTGACATGAATGGAAACGAGTAATAAAGTATATTCATTACTCGTTAT